ACATTTTAAGATGTTATAAGTTTAATTTTAGTGCTGATACTTTGAATAGAAAGAGTCCACCCTGAGAGAGATATTTAGAAATGTGATCATCCCTAAAATATTTTATGGAGTCGGAGCTTGGGGCTGCCGGGCAGAGGAAGTACTTAGGATTAGAATGAAATTGGACACCCTGCAGAGAGGCTGGATGCTTGCCATTACAAGAGCCTTCAGAACTATTTCAACTGAACTTGCCTGCGTCCTTGCCGATGTTCCGCCCCTCTCGATTCTATACAAATTTTACTACAAGAAGTTTCTATTAGCTAATAAAATTATTATGGATACTGAAATTGGACAAAAAGTACTTACAAATAAGGTCTTTCAACATGAGAATGAGGATATTATTCACCCAATGACACGATTTGGAGTATTTTATAATCTTGAGTTTCCTTCTGATGGTCGGTTTATCAAACAGAACTATACGCATTGACAGAGGCTTTGAATTGGATTAGTAAAAAATTAACAGTTCGATGCTTTATAAATATTTAGACTGATGCCCTATCTTCAGGCACTCGCCCAACCAGATCATAAAAATCGACTAATTAACGAAATAAAAGTCTTGTTTAAAAAGGCTGAAAGAAAACATATTGTTAAATTACACTATGTAAAAGCACACAGTGGAATTGTCGGAAATGAAACCCTTGCTAAAATGCACTTGGGGATGGGACCGATAATTTTAATATCCACAATTCAAGAAAAAAGACCATTGCTGAAATAGAAAACTGGATTTATACAAACGGGAATTTTTGCTGGGAGTTTTCTAATGAGAAAAAAAAGTTAATGAAAAATATATAAAGTTAAACAAGAAGAAGAATATTATAAATAATGTTGATATAAATCAGGTACTGACTAATCATGGGCGTTTCCCGGCTTATATTAATCGGTTCCATCTACAGAATAATGATAAATCCTTAATTTGTAATAAGTTTTGGGACGCCAGGCACTTCGTTGATGAATGTACGCTTACCCGGAGTGCAAGAGAGAAATATAGAAAGAATTTTAAGGAAACTTTTAAGAGGAATTATTCAAATTTGAAAGTTTTTGCAGAGACAATAATGAAGATTATAAATACGAACAAAGATAGAGTTGGAATTCGGCACTGAGACTCAGATTTTGGACTTTATATGTGTTTTTTCTTGCATTTGTGTTTTGTCTGGCTAATCCTGTTTTCTGATCATCTCTTAGCCGGCTAGGAGGATCGGGGCTGTGCCCTTATAATAATTATAATAATGTAAAAGGCATTGCATAAAGTAATGAGAATAGCTGAATAAATCAAAGAGAACTTCAAGTTTTTGACATTTTCTTAATTTTTTTTTTTTAACATAGTTTTAGAGCAACATGACAAATGTATAAGCTTTGAGAGTAAGCTGCATAAGCGAAAAAAAAAATTACCTCAGGCATTGTGGTTGTTTAAAATTTTGTTTGAATGAAACCAGAAAAGATCTTTGTAAGTTATACATGCCAATTAAGGACCACAATTAGAAGTTATCATATTGACAGAAAAAGCATCTGAATCTGAGATATATTTTTTTTGTTGAAAAATAATATTAACTGGCTAAAAATGATTCTCACGAAAAACTGAAAAAGCTGTAGGGAAGGCTCTGTGAAAAGGAGGATGAGTTTTCAATTGAAGAATTCTTATTAGAACCAACATTATAAACTGTCGCATTTGACGAGAGAACACTTTGATTTTAAAATTCATATCTTGGTAAAAGCTCTGTTGGATAGTATAATGGAACTCTGAAAAGTCATCAAATCCACAACGAATGTAATTAGAGAATAAATTTTCATTGCAAGAATTATAATGAAATAATTACTTATCACGCCTCTTTTTGGCTAATTAGCTTAGATTTTTCATAGCTTTTGCTTGCTACTATTTTATATTGTAATATTTTGAATTTATTTACTTTTTTGAAGATATTTTATTTATTTATTTTTAAGATATAGCTTTCATTCGTTCAGCTGACAAGGAATGCTGTCGGGCTTTCTAATGACACTTTCGAAGATGATTAAGCGTATGGACAAAATAACAGGAGCAAAGTTTTGTATTTCCGAGTCTCACACAAGCCCAGAATAAGACGTATTAAGTGAAGTGCGCATCCGCAGTATTTTCAGCCATAGATTGCCAGGCGTTATATATATCTGGGAATTACAATATTGTTATGTAGTAAGGCACATTCAAGGCAGAAGTTGTATGCATGCCGTATGACAGTGACTATTTTTTGAGTGGTGATACATGGCATCTATGCTTTCGACCAACAAGTACTGTTTTGGAAATATTGTATGATTAGCCAAATGGCTAGTAATCTTCATGTTGTGGCACAAACATTAGTGGTAGAGGTGATGTAGGAGCACTCAACAGGTGATGCTGTTCAAAGCATACTGACAAGCGCTTTCTGCGAGATTTTATGTCAGCACGGCTTAATTTCTAAAATCAGAAGTGCCGGAGCCCCATGGAAGAAGGAAGGAAGAACGGAAAAAATAAAATAACTAATAAAAAATGAAATTATTAACGATTAAAATAATGAAATAATTAAATTAAAATTAAAATTCAGTGAAATATAAAGATATAAATAAAATTTAATAAATTATTAAATTCATGATAAATAGTTAAATAAAAAAATATCGTCCCTCATCTTATTTGGAGCTCCAGCTGGACTTAAATTTCATTCAGAAAAATTAAACAATAGCTTGGCATCCTCCGGCTTTCAAACCCTGAATATGTGGTATAACGTACTTATTTCAAAGGATGAGAGAAACAAAAACCACTCTTTTCCCAGCATGCCAATGGGAAAAAAAAATAAAACCATTAACTCTTTCACAAACAATCCGCCCGACACGGCCCTACATTGAGACAACCAGAACCGCCCGAAAACGGCCGAGATTGTAATCTTGTTTTCTTCCCTGCTCCTAAGGTATGCAGTAGCAGGTGCAGTTTCTCCAAATGCTTTGTATCAGTTTACTGCAGACAGCTTGTCCTAAGAGGTTTCTTATTTTTTGCTTGCTCGTGACATTTCGTTGTTGATTCTTTTGTGGTACAGTGTGTTTTTAAGCTTTAAACAGCAATAAAATTGCAGCTTAAAAATTTAAGGATTACATTTATTTTTAATTAATTTATTCCTTCCAATAAAAATAACGGAAATAAACAAAATCTAAGTCGTGATCATAACAAAGCCAGAAAAGCTTGTTGGTCTGACCTTTAGAATAGTTTTATAAAGAACGGGGTCAAAGGCTAATAAAATCTTTGTTAGAAAGTACAAAGGATGTCATTCGAAATCTTCACACCTGTTTTCTGCGTTAATGGACGGGGAGGGGAGGAAATGGCTGTGAAACTGGAAAAGTATTTCGGGCAGTTCGGTATTTTGAGGGTACAGTTTAGCGAAGGGTCTGGATTTCAAAGAGTTAAAGCGAAGAACAGAGAGAATGATAGGAACAATATGGAAGTATGGAAAGAAATTTGAATGGAGAAATGTAGCTTCGAAAACAAAGAGAGAAGAGTTCTAAGCTTTCTGATCGCGATGGTCTCCCCGTATGATTCTACCTGTCAAGTAGAATGAAACTAGCCCCCCCCCAAAAAAAACCTTGAATCCTATCTGATAACAATATGAGTATAAATGTAAGGTCTGCACAAATGAAAATTTTTATTCCTCGTATTTGGTTGCATAGCTCAATTCTGCAGGAGCTCTGCAGTGAAAGGTCACTAGCGCTGGAAGTGCACAACCATGATAATCATTTTTAGTACTTTCGGGAAGAAAACATTTTACCCGCTGTCATAAATTCATTACACTACTTGGATAATAACACATTCATTACACTACTTGGATACATGCATTGAAGAGTTATAATCGACTTTTAACGCATATTTATGTTAAAAATAAAATTTTCTCGCTGAAACTGTGTTCTATTTACATATATAAAAGTGCTGGAGCCCTTTTGTTTAGGGCTCCGGCTAGAATCACCGTTTACCTTAGAAACTGAGCGCAGTTTAAGTTCTTTACGTCAGAGCAATAAGCATCTATAGCCCCAAAACAGAAAACATCCAATAAAGTGTGGGATATTGTGACAGCTTTTGAGACAGATGGTATAATGGAACACAGAGTGGCACGAATTCACTCGATATACATATAGACGGTGCCTAGCATACGACGTTAATGATTAAATCCTCAACTCTCGCACATACATAACATTTGCCGATCTATGGCTGCAAATTATCCGACCATTCTTTATTTTATTCGCTTTGTTCTGGGGTTTGAGGACAACTACGAAAAGCTATTCTCTGAACCTATTGCTTTATTCACATGCTTGATCACTCCTGAAAATCTCGTGCTATTGTCATTGAGAAATGCGATAGCTTTCTTTGTTTTACATTGTCAGGTTCAGCGGATATTGAGAACATGGGGACTTAATAATGGCCACGAGACTCATTTCTTAATACATTCGAAAATTCTAAGCATCACAGTCAAAGAATAGCAGAAAGGTATGAAAATCAGTCACATACGCAAAATAGCTTCGGGCCCATAAACTGCATGAATTAAGGAGCCTGAAGCACTTCTGACTAAGCTAAAGTAACCTTCCGGTATTAATTGATTAAAAAATCAAGAATAATGAACAGATTTTATAAAGACAGTTTGAAATCAATGCCAAACAAGAGATGATTGCAAAGTTCTTGCTTACTAATTTCAAATGATGATTATTGTGAGTTTTCTCATTTGAAATAACGTCAAAGGTTTGATTTTGTTGATTATGAATGTTTAAACTGGGGTATAGTTTTGAACCAATTAAATGATCTGTTACTTTGTCAATGTAGTTTTTAAAACTGCCAAAAGACATAAATATTTTTGTGAATAATTTATATGTGTTTAACAGCTGTCAAATGATTTACTTGTTGTTTTAGTAAAAGTAAACTTCTTGTCACTAATCAGAACCAAAAGTTAATGTTAAATTGACATAGAAATTTTTTACAGGAATAAATTCTCTACCAGAAAATTAAGACATCTTTGAGCTATACGCAATGGAGGTGGCCGTATCTCTGTTGATACTCATTAGCACGTATTTGATTGCTGTCATTATCCGTTGGGCAGTGAATCGTCACAGAAGGCTTCAGGTTTTCAAGAAGTATGGTATTCCGGGACCCAGACCCTCTTTTTTAAGCGGTAATATGTCCCAGTTGAAGGCGTCATCCACTCCGAATGAAGTGATTACTGCTTGGATTAAGGAGTATGGAAATGTATTTGGATACTTCGTGGGTGAGATACCATATGTTATCATTAATGATTTGGATATGCTGAAACAGGTAAATTCTTTGTTTCATAAAACGTTTTGTTATAATTCAATAGTTCATTTCTATGATATTGTAACCAGCTGAAAAATCCAGCGTTGCCCTGGCTTTACGTAATAGCAAGAGACTTTATTTAGAAGGATGGATTCGTTTTTTCGGAAGCTCAGGTAGACAGTAATTTTCCTCTTAAATTTTGTTCAAGGAGAATTGTCCTAAGTTTTACTGTGTTCGAATAAAACTGTAAAGCAGTTTAGAACTAACACGGCGCTAACGATTTTAGTAAAAATAGGTAGTTGCTTTGTTGTCGGTTATGTCTTTTTTTTTTATTATTATTTCGAAAATCATTATCCACTTTGTCAAATTTCTCTAACGTTTACGGGAATATTCGCAAAAAACTGATAGAGAGCGCACTGAAATTCTGCTTTGAAACTCCTACACGATTCTGGAAACTTCAAACTTGTTCTAAATAGTATACGAACTTAGCGCCATACAACGGTTTTAGTAAGAACTGATAGCGGAAAAGCAACAACTGCGACGTGATTTCGAAGTTAAACTGTTTAGAAATATTAATATTTATTTTTTGTAAAAAGACAACTATAAATTCCTTGCTTAGCATGTATGACTTCCATTAATAGGGGGAACGCAACAACGGCTGAACCTAAGATTAACGACGTGATTGCAACGTCTAATATAAATTAATAATTTCTAATATAAACTCCCTGAGTATGGATCCCGTGGCATGGTTTTTCGAAATCTTATGTAGACATAAAACTGTAGATTTGTATGAATAACACACACATAAACAAATGGACACTCCTGTTTCTATACAAACAGATGATTTTAATGACTCCAACTAGTGTAATTTCATGAGCTCAGTTAGTAATTAATATATCTGAAATGAATCTGCGTGTATTGCTTTATTCTGCTTTTATTGCTAATCGCATGCTTTGATAATAAGTAGCAGAATTTGAAAGAACAATTAAATATCTTATGCTTTGCTGAACGACAAAATACTACAGCATGGAAGATAAAAGAATTTAATTCAGGCAGTAGCAGCACATTTCTTTTAAATAGATGAGTTACTGATTTAATTCGGAAGACAAACATATTGCTAGTGGCAACACACTTCTTTTACTCGTATATTAGGCGAGTTTAGTGATTAAATTTGAAACATGAATATCTTGCACTTTGCTGAGTTGCAATACAAAGGTATATCGATGACCGCGTTTTATTATAGATAAGATATAAAAATTACTTTCTCAATCACAACAAAACAAGAAGGGACATTTCAGACTTACACATCTATAATTAAATACAAAATCAGAAACGCTTTTGTTTCATTCACTTCGTTTCTAATTGTCAATGCTTCAAAGATTAGAAAAGAAAGAAAAGTTGAAAACATTATTTTCTTTAATTCACAATAACTTATCAGCTTTTGAATAAGAGTTTTATATAACAAATCACAGATTCTGCAAGTCACATAATAAGACATATACTCTGCGTCGGGATTTTCTGTAAAATATTATGGAGCATTCACTCGAGGGCTTTGAGTTCAAAGTACCTACATCATAGAAACACAACTACATCATAGAAACACAACTACATCATAGAAACTGGTGTAAGGATTTTGTCTAAATGTTATAACTGTTTGGCTTAATGCCAACCTGCTGTAAGAACCGATTAATCATAGTGGTGGAAACGCGAATTAACATTCGGTCGACGATTTCGTAGAATCTGCTGCACATTCGTGCAAACGTAATTTTACCTTCTCTACGGCTTTATCCTTTCCCCACAAGTGTAAACTGAGTTAACGATTCTAACACCTTAGGACAATAATGGTGACTGGACCATTGTGTGAACGCTTCCTTAGGACCAAGGACTAAGGCGTTTGAATTACGGAGTACCTTTGCAATTAATTGCAATTACCTCCACATCATCGTTAAAAGAAATGAAATAATTAAGTCGCTAAGTTTAGCAGTCGCTAAAGTTGATGAAAAAAGCAGATAAGCTAAAATTCAAGAATCGTTGAGCGTCCTCGTGTTTGGACACAGGAGGAGAGAACAAGCGTTTATCACAATTGAAGGTGTTTAACCCCCCGTCGTGAGTCAACTGCTTGCGCTCGATAACAACAGAGAGGCAACCGAGACGCGAAGCGCGTGGATGGTTGCCATGGAGACGAATCAGCTGATGTAGTGAGGTGCAGGAAACCGGACCTCGGGAAAGGTAAGATACTTGTATTCAAGCGTTGAGATAAGAGCCTTGGGGTGGTCGGGGTGGGGGCAAACAGGGTCACTGACCGAAGAAGGAGAAAGAGTCGAAAAAGCGCGGTTGCGGAGGAAGAGAATTAAAGTTAACTGTAGAAAAAACTGGAGTGGACTTAGGGCGAAGAACCGAAGGGTGAATTTGAAGTGCAGGCAGCATGAAGCTTGTATTGCAGATGAAATTGTGATTTGAGTTCTGGGTGCAGTTAGATTCTGTAAAAGACAGCAGTACGTGTGATTTTTAAAGTAATATTCTAAGTAATTATTTTTATGGAATTTATATAATTAATTTTAAATCTATTTAAATTAAAAATTAAAAATATATAACAATTGATGAAGTCTGTATTTTCTCACATATGTGTTCATTGCACAAATTCTGATCTTGCTACGGCACCATCATGTTTTTAAATATCACAAATGACAGAATGAATTATGGGAATTTTTAAATATCACATAACGACCTACTATTGAATACATTATTGCTGTTCAGATGGCTCGCACATCACTGTATATTGAAGCTTCTCCTGAAAATTGCTACCCTCCCGAAATTAAGTTTCTAACTCAATAATGATACAAGGACGTGTACTGCACATTTTGTCTTTGAGAAAGCCCTGAAAACTACCTCAAAGATAAATCCAAAGCCATACGTGATTTCAGATGAAAATTTTAAATCAAGTATGTCTAAATGGGTGACCAGGCTGATCAGCTGATTGCCTTATGAAAAGATATCAATGGCTTTGAAAATAATTTCCGAAACATGGTGATGTAATCATAGCTGTGTGAGCGGTTGTTCTATCTATTAAAACCACCACTCACAAGGTAACCTGTGGAATTCTGAAGAAATGTTTCGAGCATGATCCTGTATATTTTTTCCTGAAAAAAATGTTTCGAGCATTGATAACATGACTTTACCTACATCATTTTCAAAAAATTATCGCCTACTGAAATTAAATTTCACACCAAACTCTTAACCTTGGCATTGCGAGGATGTCGATGCAGTTCTTTGGAGTTCAGTATAGGTAATTCTACTTTATTGCCACTATACTTTTATCGCAGCAACGCAAGGTTGCTTAGACTCACGTTGTATCTCTCATGGAGGTAGGAAGTTAGATGGAGTGGCCCTAAACCGGTTTTCCCATACCCTGCTTTGAAGCACTGGCAATCCCTTCTTTGGTGACCAAAACATTGGGTAATTTACCATTGAGTTGAATGGGTTTTTCACACGATCGGATATAAATATTTTGTAATTACGTAGTAAATATGCATATAAATGTATATATTTTCTTTTTCTACAATACTTCAGAGGCCTAAGTATATGAAAAGAATACATTTCCTAAACAACATTTCATTCTGAGCGGAATTAAATGCTATACTTTTCACAAAACTGTTTGCTCAGAAGGATTTAATTTGAAATATTTTCACAATTTTTCGTTAATTACATTAGGAAAAAAAATAAGGATTCGATTTGATTCGGTTAAGGATTACAAAAATTAAGATCAAAGTTTATTGTACTATTAAAATTATGCATTATTTCTTTTCCATTTATAGAGCTTCTTCCTAAAATACTTTCTCAAATATGACATGATTTTTTAGCTTCTGAGGCATCTTTTAAACCGAAAACTAATAAACAAAAAATAAGTCAATTTATAATTAATGCTCTATTCGGTCCATTTCAAGTTAGAGCACCTTTTAATTTAATAGCGAAATACTTTAAATAGTGCTTATCTTTCTCTGAATATTTCTGAAAGAGAATAAAATAAGGCTTATTTTTTAAATATTATTTAAAACTTATAACTGACTTCTATAAGGAGAATATATGACTGATAAGGGGAATAATTCTTTTAATTATACTTATTAGATTTTTTTACCCTTAATTTCAACAATACATATTCCAAAACTCTTTTTTATTACTTTCTTAAGTACGCATCTCATAGAAATTGCTTTACAATACCTTTTAACAGATTGCTTTCCAATACCAACAATTCTTGCTTAATTAGTTTTATAACGTATTTGTCAACAGGATGTCAGTTTATGTTTACAATTCAATGTTAAGGTTATTATATTTTTATATAATATTTATAATCATTATAAATTTAGATGCATTTAATAATTAGATTTCTTCACGGTAACTTTCACAGTTATTTATGAATGAATAAATCCTTCATTTCAAATACATTTATAAATAATTTTAAAAATATTTACGTATATTGTTAAAGGCAGATACATGCTTTTTGGAAGCACATGCATAAATACCCATACATATTTCATATTTTTCATTTCCAGCATGTGGAAATCTTTAATTTCTGTGCATTCACTATATTTTTCGAGTAAAGTAATTTACACTAATTTTAAAAAGTACATGTTACAATAATATGTGGATGTGAAAAAAATTATTTTATTTACAACATTTTGGTGTTTGGAACATAAAATAAAAGTAGCGAATACTGTATTAAAGGGTATCGAAAAATGTATACTATTTTAAAGGTACGGTTAGGTATTTTTCATTGTTTAAGCATAACTGTTTTGCTAAAATCTATATTTTTGTAGTTCAACAGCTTAGAACTTTATAAAATAAATTCACAATCAAAATCGCTGTTGCTAGTTATCGAAAAATAACCAAAATGTGATTTTTGCGTAAATGTCACTAAACTATACAAATTGCTATTATCTATCACTCTAGAAATTTTTCTTTTATCCGGAAATGTCCCATGTTTCGATTTGTATGGAACTGTCGTGTGTCAAAATACTATCAGA